CTTGAACTACACCACACTATCATATCATGTTAAGGTAGGAACTATAACGCCGTCTGCTGAAAACGCTCCATTATGATCTAAGTGCACGAAGCTTTCAAGGAAAACCAAAATTCTTTATAGCTATTGCAAGATATTGAGCAGAAGTTAAATTTCTTGGCTCCAGAAGAACTTTGAGTTTCGACTACCGCCTGGAAATGCTAGTTCTCAGATATTGCAGTAAAATTTATAGCCAGTAAAGAGGGTGAAATTGAAATTCTATGATTTCTACGAAAAGTTGAAACTTCGCTGAAAATAATGAGAGGATCTAACCGCAGCAAAGTGTAGCGAAAACTTGTTGCGGTTCAATAGATCTTTTTTTTTTGATTCCACAAGTTCACATTCACTAAAGCTCGCATATCTACCACTTTTCTAAGCATTTTGAGAATTGTTTATTTTAATAAGCGAGCATAATTATTCATATGTAATAAGAATCATATGTGAAAACCATTTTATTGGCTCCGCGAAGGAGAGAACATTTTAAAATAATAATCTAACGAGAAATTTTTCAAAGCCACCTCTTCTAAGAAAAACTTTTTCAGCAAAAAAACCATGTTCATGTGTTGTTTCTGTGTAACAATATATTTTTGCAAATATTATCGTCTTAAGAGAATGTGCATGCGAGAAATGTAATCTGATCGCTGAACGGCAAAGGGTGATGGCCGCACAGGTGGCGTTGAAACGAAAACAAGCCACTGAGGACGCTATCGCACTCGGATTACGGTAGCCAATTTTGTTTATGTAACGAAACATACACCTACTTGAAGAGCTTCAAGTGCAGTCATCGTTATCGATTTGAAATTGCTTATAAAAGAAGCGAGAAGACCACAATTATTGAAGATTGCATGTAATCTGCACTACAATAAGGCATCAAAGTTCGCACTTGGCTAGTGGTTCTCAAAAGTTCAAATTGAGGAAACTGTCACAATCTTTCTGGAATCTGTTATATTGTACTCAGTAGCGCTGTGGTTGACACGCGTCTTTGGAAAAGTTGGGGCGCCGTTTTACCTTTTTCCCAAGGTTCAAAATTTCGCATATAGCTTGAACATTGGAAGAACAAATCTGCTGATGCATTTCAATAAGATACCCCCAACTTTGGAAAGCTGTGGGGAATTTTTACATCAAAAATATTGATTTAAAAAAATTATTAGGTGATCAGAAAAAATTTTTTAGTAAATCAGTTACCTCTGACTTCTCAGTGTGCAATAATTTTTTTCTAACATATTTAGGATGGTGGCAGGTCAGGCTATCGAGCATCTACCACAAGGTCCTCTATGGAATGCTAGCACCGATGAAGATCAAGATAACGACGATGACGGTTCTGAACGTGACAAGCAGATTATCGAAAACTAACCCTCAACTTTCGCCACATTCATGACCATACCAATTTTTGTGCGCGTTTGCCATGAGCAGGCGCACAATTCATCCATTGATTGTCCCTACTACTGAAAAGAAAATTTAAGCACTACTTTAACCAGTAACAGTACATGTTTTATCTATAGGATACAAGAGGCAAGCAAACTTTAGGAATCCGTATATATGTGCTTTCCAAGTAGGGACATTTTGATACCTCCCCCACTGTGGAGTTCTCGCTATATTCAATGGAACGGGTAAAGAGTACAGAGAGTACCAATGCTTCATCTTACCAGATAAGTGTGACAATAATTTGCTGGCGCAAGAGAGATGGGAAACTTGAATTGCTTAGGAGAGCGAACCATTAGCAGCATAAGCACTTCAGTGCACACTCAAGCACAGAATAACTTAAGTATTTGAAGCAAATTTTCAAGACCAACTATGTATAAACCTCGACATTGTTATGAAGAAAGTGAAATGGCCGAGACGTTAGCTGTTCAGACAAATTTTCTATTACAACCTCGTGCTTCAGCTTATCAAGGAAAACTGTAACTACGTAAAAACAAAGTCGAGAAACGAATGAACTCGAGAAGATATCTAGAAAACTGTAAGACATATTCCAGACTCAACTTCTTCTCCTCTAAGTGACCCATCAACGTCGAAGATAAATCGAACGGATAAGACTCCGCCAAGCCAGCTTTCTTCAATTGAACCTGCTTACCGTACTGTTTGACGAACAAGAGAAACGCGTTCTTGAGATTGTATTAGAAGGTCTGTCGTAGCATTCTAGCGCATTATTGCAAATGTACTTTTTTATTTTTGTTATTTATTTTTTTCATTCGTTCTAGTACATTGTTGTAAATGTACCGCATTTCTCCTTGAGTAAAGGATAGTGAAGACTATTGTATTTTCTTCTGCGAATGGAAACAGATAGCAATGTGGTCCCAGAGATGATTAATAGAAATAGCTATTTGAAATGAGAAGGTTAAAAAAACTGGATTCACTTTCGTATCGTGGAATATGTACAGTATTTTCTCCTTTACGATTTTATTTCAAACAAAAGACATTAATCAAGAGAGCAAAGTTTTCCGAGCATTACGAGATTATTGGATCCGGCTAATTTATTTGAATGCGATATATGAGATTTAGTGGTGTCGATATTTCATAAGTAATTCTATCACGAACGTTACTATTTTCGATTATTCCCGTTTCTAGAAAAATATCTGGAGTCCTTTTACACTAACTTTTTTGACAGCGTTGCTTTCAGACATTTATTTTTTAGAATAGTAGCAGTCCTCCTGACCAAATTTTTTTCTTGTAATCTCTTCCAACTTACTACACAGCTTTGTTTTCCATTTGCTCTTTCATTTACTTATATTCCTTCCACAATACAGTGATCGATTATAGTATAAGAGAGGAAAAATGAACAACTGAGGTTTGAATACGTATTTTTAGCACTCAATGGCGATCTACTCCAGACTATTCAGCACTTTGCCTGCATTCGGAAATTCAAAAGACGTTTCATTTTGGAGGTCTGTTTAAATCTTCGATGGCAATTACTTGCGAAACTAAGCAGTCATTGCTAGAAAAAACGACCATTAAATAACTGCAATTGTTTTTCTATCCTCCTTACTATAGGTGTAATCATACACTGCTCAGAACTCGCCTAATTCTGGAAATCGCATTTACTCCTAGCTCAGCTTTCAAGTGAGAACATAATTTATTTTCAGTCTAACTAATAATGCTATGAAGGCAGGCAAATCCTTACAAGTAGCTGTACATCTCGCTTTAACTCCCAAAAAATTCCACTCTCGTAAAAAACAGCGAAGCGGTGAGCCGTTGAGAGGAGTTTAGAGCTTAATTTGCTTCATTGATGGCTCTTTTTCAATATATAAGCCAAATCAAGATAAAAACTGCCCAAAAGCTTCCAAATTCTTATCATTGTGTCAACGGACCATGCCAATCAATATAATTGTAGAGATCGAAGCACAAAATCGCCTTTGTACCTGCATTTTTCGTTTTCCTACTTCGCTTTGATATAAGTATTTGTTTGAGAGAGTTGGTTGTGTTCATGAGATTGTGAACGAATTTTATGTAAGTTGGCATTGCACCCACCCAATCATCAAACGTACATTGGAGTTTTTCGTCGAGCCTATAGTCTTTACTATCATTACCTTAGTAAATATTTGAGTAGTATGGTTGATGATCGTATTTCGCTCACACTTGTTTGATCATTGTTTTAGAATTGCGCAATGCAAGGTGAAACACTGTCCCGAATCGGTTTGGCAACAACAGATTCAAAAACACCTTTTTCAATGGAGTCGCTTCTACTGGTAAGAAAGTTTTATCGATAGTAGGAAGCGCCGTATCACCTTAGAGTCTTATACTGCTCCCAGTTTTCAAATAATACCAGCCGGAAGAAAACAGATAATACTGAGAGGTGAACGGTGCAATCTTTCGTTGTATATCACAAGTCACCAATGATTTGGAAACTTGGAGAGTGGCAGCAGCATTGAAATCAGGTAATACACTTGCAATCTAAGATTGTCAGCAATAAAATACTTCAAAATGCAGAAAATCAGTTTTATTGAGTCACCGTCAATCTCACAGTCAGCTGAACTCTGTTGTCGGAAATAGGGCTGTTGTTCTTTAGAAAATGAAAGCTCGACGCTGCAAAGCCCTGTCCAATTCACAAGAACATTGGAAGGCGGAATACACAGTAGGAGTAAGTAGGAGTAAAAAAAGTTGAAGGATGAAAAGTACTATATATTAGATCTCAAGGTAGTGTTAAACTGGAAAAGTGCGCTGAGAACTTCGATAGATTACTTCGATATCTGACGCTTGTAGGTTAATCTTCTTTGTTGTCTTAGAGACATGTAGAATTCGACAACATTATCGAGCTACTTTTGTATGCTTAAAAAATGCTGTGGTGAGATCTATTCATGGTCGGGATGTAGTGAGTCTTTCCAAGTACTATAAATCAATCTACAAGTAAATACTGCTTGGATCAGAATAATTGCTGAATGCTGGAACATTTCATACTCTTCTATTTCGTTATCATTGTAGAATGACGAACTCTTCCATTAGCGCGTATATTGAAAATAAATTGAACCTACAATATGAATAAATCATATCCAATTTATTTCGTCGATCTATTCTCTTTTATCTTGAGCACTAGTATTAGATGGTAATCCATGTCAAATGTTATATGTTGAAAACTGATTTACATCACCTATATAGCTGTTTCTCAGAGACCGTCAATGTTTCCTTCATATGCTTGGACGTCAATTTATCATCCATCAATGACCGCTGCTACTTTGAACGGTAGCGACGAATCACGTTCACCGGAAAATTCATCGGTCGCATGAAATTCACATCACATGCATTCATGCCGGACAATCCTTGTGGAAATTATTATGGTTAGCATTTTGTTAGCGAATATCATCTCGTAGTAAACCTTCATCGTCAACTAATATTTCAGAAAATCGCAAATGAATCGAATAATAGAATGACAGAGAGTATTTTCATTTGAGAAACTTCCTGTAGCAATTCAATAAAATAAAATAAAATGTAATTATATAACTAAGCGAATTGAGTGGTGAACAAAAACACGGCCTCAGCGGGAATCGAACCCACGTTTCATCCTATCCGGGGACGCGTGCTCTACCACTACACCACTGAGGCACATTTGCCCGACCACTCATTCTTCAACATCTCGATGTTTAAAATGTAATTTTCAAAAAATCCATGTAGCAATCACTTCCTGTAGCCATGTACCATTTATGTTCCTTTTCTCTTTTGATTGCAAATTTTTGAGTGAGATTGTGCTTCTTTTGTCAGTGCTACATTGATCCATGAAAATCCTGTATCCAATATTTGCTTTCGTAATTATTTAGAAAAATTGTTGCTGACCTTGTTTTTTGTGATGCACCTGACTGATTGTTGAAACGTTTTTCACTTTCCGTGTCCTTTTTCTGTTTCCTCACAATGTCTGAACTGCAGTTAAGATCATGATTACAATGAGATTTGGTGCTATTTCCTTTTTTTTGGTGACGTCTCGTATCCAGAGATGACAGTAAGAACTTTTTCATACTCTGTGATAGTGTTTAGAGCCTTTTAGAAGTTCGTACATCAGAGGCTACATCCTTTTTCAGTGATATTGTCTGTACGCCGAAACGTAGTTGAGCCACTGACGTACCAACCTCAAAACGCTCTAAACATTCCTACGGACTATTTTGAATGTTCAAAGCAAGGTTTGAAAGCAAGTTAACCTGAAGAACTTTTTCAGTGTTCATTGTCTCCATCTGCAATTATTGGTATAATTTCTTGAATAACTTGAAATGCTCTCGCTTATTTGTTAATATCCTTTACTGTGTCTTCACTTAACTAATGTGCCTTCTGAAGGAACGTCATGGGAAATGCCGTTGTGAAAAATAAATTTTCTCGAGATTTCTTCCAGATTAGAGCAACTATAGCCTTTAAATTTCCACGTGTTGCCTAGTATTCTCACCACAGTTCTTGTTTCCAGCTGCCATTCACACAACTTAAGTTTTTCAAAGATAAACGAATTAAGCCCTTATTTTGGTCGTTTTCCGCTAAATACTAGTTTTTACTTCGATATCTGCATAACCACATCATAGATTGTGCGCATGTGAGAAAAATTTTATTTCGTCGTTAATTTCTTGACTGCTTGAATTTTTTGGCTGAAGTAGTCCTGGTCAGAGAATGTAGGCAACTACGGAGTTTAGAGCTCGCAACAGATTGCTTCTAAGTGATGTATGTGAAAACGAATGAGAACTATATTGGAACTCGCACTACCGGTGCGGACGGGGCCGTTCAGGTATCCAAGTATCGAAATTGTGTCCACATTGAGTTGCTTCGGGTATGTTTATTTGAAAAAAGAAAGGTCGAGCTCTCAGGTTGGTATTCACGAGTAGCTTGCCAGTCTCTCTCGGAGGAGCGAAAGAAACTTATTTGTTGGAGGCGCCTCCTAACCACCTTCCATGTATTTCCCAACCGCTTGATTGGAGGCTTTTGGCCGACTTGACTCGTAGAAGTAGAGCTTTATCAAGTCGGCGCTGCCGAAGCAGGGAGCTCATCCCGTGAATCCATCTGTGTCTCTGGGAAGCACACGCTCGCTTTTGGTTCGCATGGGACGCGCTATGTGCCCTCGCGACTAAGCGGGCGAGATCCCTCAAAGAGGGAGATCCGTGGCAACCTCATTTAATCCGACGACTTGTCGGTCAAACCAATGCAACGTTGGTAAATAGGAGCTTCAAGCAATCAAGAGCCGAAGAAGAACTCACGAACCCCATGAAACTGAGTAGGTTTTGAATAGTTTCTATTTCAATCAGTTTTCATGGTATGACTGCAGGTTTGATTTCAGGTCTAGAGAAAACGTACATTTATCCAAGTATCATGTAAGCATACACGTTGCGTGCAAAGAAAATGATAGTGACGTGCACCTCAAGGAGGCTAGAAAACAAACATAAGGACAGCATGTTTTTATTGATTTTTAGTATTCGATCATTAGAATTCTGACGTGATTGTGGCGGTATCTTTACTTCTCTCAGGTAGTTCGTCGTAAAAATTCTCATCTAAACAAGCTCTCTTATGGACAACTTTAGAGCCCGATATAGGTGTTTTGGCCTTTAAGGCCTCACTGGTCAGGCAGTACCCTTCATCTTAGCCGATCCTCTTGGGGGTACATTACTTATATCAGCTAAAGATTTAGAAGTTTAGCGGAAATCTCGCAAATCACGAGAACTCAGGGTTTTCGATAGCACAACAGAATTTTCAGTTCGAATTGCCGAAAATGAAGCGCATTTGTTCTGATTACATGGGCTTTTTCAATAATTTCCATATGCTCGGTTGTTTGGTTCTGTTCTTGAATGGAGAAAGCGACATCGCTCACGCTCCACCTTGGCAACACATCAGTAGGCTCCGTCTACAGTGTCCTCATCATCAACTGAGTTACGTGAATCTGTGATAGACATTCGTTTTGCCTATTACATTTTATAGTACAAATTGGTTTATAGCCTGATTTCAGGAAGTAGTTTTTCATTTAACAGTCGGAATTGTCAAAGCTGAGAGCGTTAAGGCGAGTGAAACAGCAGTTATAAATGAAGTGTCCATAAAATCGATATCATTTGTTTATCGAACGTGCGAAGGTTTGCTTATTTGGAAAAGTATAGGTTCAGATGTTTCCTTTCTTTGAGGTATTGAGAACTTGGCTGAAGTTATTATTGGCCTAAAGGTGGTGAAATTTGCTAAGTGGCCTTTTGCTTGCCGTAATTATCTCCTTGGCACCTAAAGAATCGTGTGCTTATGAATCATGTATGGACGACTCGACTCATTTCGCTGTAAACAATAACGATATCATGATTCACTTGATGAAAATCCCGTAATTGTGTAAAATGAATAACCTAACAGAAATAAAGCGTATGGCAACGGGTTGTGCCCGACGTTGCCACTAATTTGCTTTATTAACTGATCAATAAGTGGTGGCGCTGACGGTTGGTGATGTTGACGTTTCGAGTGAATATTAGCTTTATTATAGAGGATAATAAGGCAACCTAAAAATTTATATATAAGTACAATAATAATCACAAGAAAGTAACAATGCATAACTGTGTAATCACGATGATACTGTAACATGGCTAAGTGCGTAGTGATTAAGTGAAACGATATGATTGGATTGACTAGTGCATGTAGTGAACTGATAATGTGAGCTGAGACTGCGGGTCTTGACTAGGCCGTGGACCTCGGGATGCGGTTATGCTTGCCCGAGCAAGACCTACACACCGATGGTAGGAGCCAGTGAATGAATAAATATGTCGAAAAGATTCTGAGTAATTATATACATGGACTGGAGCCCATCCCGGGCGGCGGTAAGATTTGCCTAAAGAAGCGAACCGCTACCAACATGTGCAGTACGGAGCAAATGCAGACATAGCACAAAGATTGTTTGACTTTTCGGAGCTAATGATTTGCGCTCTTAGCGGTTACTGGCGGAAAGCTTTTTAACCATCAAGGAAAATACGATTGTCCCTTTATGCTCTTAGTAAGCTATAACACACATTGCTTAGAACTCGTCTATTCTCGAAGGTCTCATCTGCTATTAGCTCTGCTTCCTTTCAGATGAGAATATAGGTCTTTCTCAGCCTAGTAGTTCTGCCAAGAAAGCAACGAATCCTTTCACGTAGCTGTACAACCCGCTTCAATTCTCACAGATCCACCCTTATCTATCGCCGCAAAGCGCTGAGCCATTGAGAGAAGTTTGCAGGTCAACAAAACTTGTTGATAGCTTTTCTGTAACGTCGAAACTAAATCTAGTAATAGTTTGCCCAGTGCTTCCAGGTCTTGATAGCCATTCAAATCGGCAACTAATTGAAAGGCGCCTTTTCCGATGGAGTCACTTCTAATGGTGAAAAGGTTTCATAGTTAGCCGGGCCTACCGTATCACCTTGAAGCTATATGCCACCCACATTGTGAATAGTAATGCTCTTTGCTGCAGATGAATTTAGAAATCTCGAGAGACGCTCTCTCTTTTCGTGATTATAGTGTGCGTAATTCTTTATTTCTAAACTGTGATCTGAGCTGTGACGTGTACGTGCATTGGCAGCAATATCTGGACCAACAGTTATGCTCGAAACTGGAACTCGCAACTACGAAATCTATGATACAGAACAAGTCCTCTTACTTTATTTACAATCATTTAGTTAACTGAACTTTATGGACAGAAGGATAATCATTGTTTTTCAAAAAGTTGCAAGACCGAAAGCTACAAAGCTTCATCTAGTTCACAAGCAATGACTTGTGCTACAATGAGTATTTTCAACACCACAGGATTGCTTTGTGGAGATTTCATGATGAAGCACGCTCATCGTATTGCAAATTTTTCGAACGAAGAGAGGAGAAAGCAGAGCTTGATTCAAAAGCGATTTAGTAGAGGTTTGGTGTTAATAATAGCAATGCACTTCGGCACTTAATTGGCCGGTGTTCACAGCATTTTTTCACTTTGCTGATCCCAGCACTTCTAGCATTTAATTCGTTTTTCGTCTTCTTCTTGAACGTCGTAGAATACGCTGAGGATACGATCTAAGCACATGAGGAACCTTCCACCAGTTCTCATCAAAACACCGCTTTGGCTCCTTACGCGTTGTATTCCAACACGATTTCTCAGTGGAAAACTAGTGAGATCGTGTCATGGTTCAAAAAAGACTACAAGGACGCAGTCAATTACCGTCCAATATGCTTGCTATTTGCTGCCTATAGTACCTTTCATTGACCGAAAGAGGACTGATAAAGCATAAGAGAAAGAACGACCATTCAAACCAGCAAATTTCTGGAAGGGTTTAGTACTATAGAGCACGATAGTGAAACTCGTAAGGGGTTTACAAATGTTTGAGAAGCCGCTATGTCTAATCTCAATTATTTGAAAAGTCTTCAGTTCAGTTGAGGCAGAAGCAGTCACAAAATCTTTAAGCACCGTGAGCTCCCCTACTACTCACATTGGTCTTGGGCGAGCTCTATAAAATTTTCGCAACCAAAATATTACCACTCTACAGCAACATTATTACCGACGTAAGAAGAGGAGTTCGGCAAGGTCATACAACTTGTGCCAATGATTCAAACTTCACTCTGCAGGACATTATGCTAATGTTAAAATAGCAAAACGTCATT